GGAAGGGAGAAAGAGAGAGAAACATTGATGAAAGGAACATCAATTGGCTGCCTACTGCACGGCCCCTCCTGAGGGATTGAGCCCACAATCCTGGGCATGTGCCCTACTGGGATTCAAACCTGTGACCTCTTGGTGCATCGGTTGATGCTCATTTCACTGAGCTACACAGGGCATTTCTGTGTATTTTAAAAGATAAATTTACTGATCAATAATTGATGATGATGATATATTGATAGACTATTTTAAATTGATTTTTAAAAAAATATTTTTATTGATTTCAGAGAGGAAGAGCGAGAGAGAGAGATATAGGAACATCAGTGATGAGAGGAAATCATTGATCAGCTGTCTCCTGAACACCCCCCACTGGGGATTGAGTCCGCAACCCGGGAATGTGCCCTGAGCGGGAATTGAATTGTGGACCTCCTGGTTCATAGGTCATCGCTCAACCACTGAGCCACGCCGGCCGGGCTTAAATTTATTTTTTTGAAGTAGAACCTTTAAGGAGGTCTCCCAAGAGAATTTGGTAGCTTACTTTTTATAAATGCGTGTGTTTGAAGTATAAAAATGACATTGAAAATCATTTTCACGGAAGCTGACTGTGCCCCTTCTCTTTACCCAATTCATGCAAGGCAGCGAGATGATCTTATTTGGGACAAGCCTTCTTCTATTATTTATGATCCTTTCTAAAGATAGTCGGTTGTTTTCCAGAAAACTGCATCTTTTAGGTGTAGCACTCTTTAAGAGAGGACAGAGTCCTTCCTGATAGTTGACAAGGTCAAATGTTGGTCAGAGATGCTGTGTCCTCATTCTGTTTAAGAGCCTTCAGTGGTTCTCTTTACTTAGGAAATGTCTACCTTTTTAAAACCACATGTAAAGCCGCCATGTCTCCTGGCCTACCTTCCTACTTTACTTTCCCATTTCGATTTCACGGACTGTTTCCTTCCCTGGAAGGTGCATACATCCTTGCCCTTTTCCTTTGTCCTCATTCTTCCCGTCACCTGGCACATTTTCATGTCTTAATCAGGCGTTCTTTTTAGCCTTCAGACTTGGTGAGAGCTCCTCAAAGCTTTCTGAGCTGCTCTGAGTGTATTTACTCTAGATTGAAATTTCCTCTCTGAATTTCTGTCATCGCAGACTGCAAGCCTGAAGAGGTGGCACTCTCTTGTCATTCACTTTGTACTCTTAGAATATAAGTGATTCCCTGGCATATAGTGGATGCTCAATTAATATTTAGTGACCTATGTGGTAACAGTATGTTTAAATTTGGGAAGTAAAACTTTTGTCGAATTTGGATTAGCATCAACCAATACAAAGTCAGACTTTTGAAAAAGGCAGTTTTTAAACTAGCTAGACAGTGATCGTATCTTTAAAGTCGAATTTGATTTAGCCCACACAAAATCAATTGCAATAAAAATTTTAGAGTAGTATTTTCAACAGTTAAGCCACTTAAATGGGAAGACCTAACTTCATCTCTTCTAATTGTCTCTCAAAAATAAATTTGCCTCCGTCACCATCACTAGCAGCACCCTGTTTAGAATCTCTTTTCTTCTAAGTCTCACCATTTTTTTCTGCTTACTTTTTCTTCCTTAGACTGCTCTGAAGATTGGAAGGTTGGTGCCCTCTAGGGGTAAGCTGCAGGTGCAGTGCAGTACCCACATTTTAGAGAACACTGTACAATTCTGGGAGAATTGTATGAAATACAGAAAATGATGCTTCCTCCTTCTTATGTAATTCACGTTATGCAACTTAATCCCAGAGTGTCTCACAGTGCCTTCACTTTGCTCATCTGCCCCTCAGGCACTATTCATTCAGACAGTTTTTTGTTCCACAGGGAGAAAGTCTCCAAAAAGAGATGAAAGGCTGTTTTATTAAAAATTGAAAACGGAAGGTTTCGACTATTGGCAGTTAGTGGAGTCATTTGTGAAGGATAGTTACCGGCCAGATGTCTGTGACTCAGACCCGGGACAAAATAAAAAGCTTTTCTGTGTCAGCTTAACTATTTAATTTCATCTTTTCTTTCTTCTAAATTTCAGATATTTCTCCAGAACTCCATTCCCTCCCCCCTCTCCCCCCGCCTCAGTTCATCCACTAGCACTCTTTCCCCATAATGTTGGTTTGTAATTTTTAACTAACATTCTCTTTCATTTTATTCTTCAGTGGAGAGTAGAATGAGCCAATTTTAAAAGGTCTTAGGTCAGGGGTCGGTATCTAGTATTAATTTATCGTGTGTGTATTTTTATTATTATTAGTGATGGTGGCATTTGTTTTTCATTGAATGATAAAGATGATAACGTCTTATGTTTATCTAGCCTTTTCATATGCAGTATTTTTGTAGACCCTCAGAATAATCACCCGAGATAGGAAAAATAGGCAGTATTACGTGCCAGCCAACGCCTCAGAATTTTTTCAAGCATTTCGATGTTAGTCTATTTCTGCACCCCGCCCAAATTATTTTTTTTTAAAATCTTTTTATTGCCTTCAGAGAGGAAGGGAGAGGAGGAGGAGGAGAGAGAAACATCAATGATGGAAAGAGAATTATTGATCGACTGCCTCCTGCATGCCCCCTCCTGGGGATTGAACCCACAACCCTGGCCTGTGCCCTGATTGGGAATCAAACCGTGACCTCCTGGTTCATAGGTTGAGGGTTAACCATTTGAGCCACGTTGGCCAACTGGTCCCCTCCCAAATTCTTAAGAAATTAGGCCAAAGGCTTGAGAGCAGCTTTCCATTTTACATATTTTAAGTTGTCACATTGAATTTTGAAAATATGATAGCTTTTATTTTCAGATCATACAATTTTTGTTTTCTAGTTTGAACAAAGACCTTCTCTTTTCAAATTTTTGATTTTGCAAATGAGAAAATTTAGGCCGAGATTATAGACAGCTGGGACTAGTTTATGGGACTCATGGTAAAAGCAACACTAAAATATAGGCCTCCTAACTTGTTTTGCCTTATAACATGTTTTCTAAGGTTTGAGAGTGTAATATTATTGTTTTTCTCTTATAAACATGCCTAACTTAATTTTTATTTATTGTTGCATAAATATGGAGAAAAATGATACTTTGTTTTGGAAAGTTTCTCTGATGTAGGAGGTTTAGTTCAATCTGGCAATGCAGGTTGTGAAATAGCCTTCCTATGAAATAAGTGTTCAGAATCACACCCCATCTCTCACTGTCCTGGAGTGAGAAAGACATAGGAAGTGGAATGAGGAGTGTCATGTGAGTCTCTCATGACGTGGGTGGGATGGCATGGGTTCAGGAGGCCAAGCATTTGTGGCAGATACCCCTGCTTGGCAGACTGAACAGAGGTTTGGGGAAATCTTTGGGGGTTTGAGCTCTAAAATCACAAGCTTAAATCTGGCTCTTGGAAGAGAGGAAGAAGATGAGGTGAACTCTGTGCTAGTGATAATGGTCATGAAAACCCTCCACCACCACAAGATTTCTGTTGTACAGAGGAAGGTTTAGACAGAGGTCTTCTAACCTTACATCTGTGAATTTTTTAAAAAAAAACATTAAATTTTGAAATAATTATAGATTCATGGAAGCTTTTAAGAATACTGCCTTTATCCAGCTTATAGCTGTGGATTTTTTTTTTTTTAAATTAATCCTCACCAGAGGAGTGAGGATATTTTTTCCCATTGATTCTAGAGAGAGACACACACTCATAGATGTGACAGAGACACATTAATTGGTTGCCTCCCACAAGCTCCCTGACCAGGGGCAGGGATCAGATATGCAACCCAGGTACATGCCCTTGACTGGGAATTGAACCCGTGACCCTCAGGTGTGTAGAGCAACACTCTTAACTACTGACCAGGCTGGCCAAGGCCATTGGTGGATTTTTAATGTGTGGAGTGTGTGCTTCTGGCATCCAGATCTTGTGGCTAGAGCGTAGGAAGACCAGCAGGGGGTAAAAAGTTGCCTCTGTTAAGTTAGCTCCAGTTGCTGTATCAGAAGTCATGAAGATCAGGGCATTGCCTGTATTTTAAAAATTGTAACTCCATGTATTAGTACAGGCTATTCCTATCTAATAAAAGAGTAATATGCAAATTGACCATCACTCCAACACACAAGATGGTTGCTTCCATGTGGTCAAAGATGGATGCTCTCATGTGGACACAAAATGGCCACCACAAGATGGCCAGCACGAAAGGGCAGTTGGGAGGGACCAGTCCTGCAAGGGAGGTCAGTTGTAGGCAATCAGGCCAGGAGTGGAAAGCAGTTGGGGGGGGATCAGGCCTACAAGGGAGGGAAGTTGGGGTGATCAAGCCTGCAGGGGAGGGAAGTTAGGGGTGACCAGGCCAGCAGAGGAGGGAAGTTGGGGCAACTGAGCCTGCAGAGAAAGGCAGTTGGGGGACCCAGGTCTGCAGGGGAGAGCAGTTAAGGGGGACCAGGTCTGCAGGGGAAAGCAGTTGGGATGACCATATCAGCAGCGGAGGGCAGTTAGGGGCAATCAGGCAGGCAGAGGAGTAGTTAGGCATCAATCAGGCTGGCAGGGGAGTGGTTAGGAGTGATCTGGTTGGCAGACAGAAGCAGTTATGGGCAATCAGGAAGGAAGGCAGGCAAGAAGTTGGGAGCCAGCAGTCTTGGATTGTGAGAGGGATGTCTGACTGCCTGTTTAGGATAGGATTGGGCCTAAACGGGTAGTTGGACATCCCTTGAGGGTTCCCAGATTGGAGAGGGTGCAGGCTGGGTTGAGGGACACTCCCAACCCCTATACACAAATTTTGTGCACAGGGCATCTAGTATTTATATAGTGTGTTAAAACTTGTAATAATTCTACTTGTCTTTGTGAGTTATTAATCTGGAAATTACATTTTTAGAGTTTAGATTTTAAATTAAATTTAGAATTTAAGTAGTAAGAGAATAAAAATTTAAAAAATCACTGTATGAATGAATACCATATAAGAAATGTTTTCTACTGTCTCCTCTTCCTTGTTTGAGTATTAAAGATGATCCTGGGTTCTAGAACTAAAAGTTAAATTGCTTTTCTCCGTATAGGTTCGAAAACACGTGAATGATCTCTATGAAGACTTAAGAGATGGACACAACTTGATCTCTCTTTTAGAGGTTCTTTCAGGAGACACCCTGGTAAGTTGTAAATTTCTTAATTCAGTTTGAAGAACATATGCATATGACTAGGATGTTTTTGGCACAAACTGTTCAGATTTTTATATTATTCATCTTTTTGAGCTGCAATTTCTGCCTGAGGAAAAAAAAAGTTTTGGTTGGATTCCCAAGCATTTTCAGATTTCGAATGATGTGACTTTGGGAGATTGAAGCACTTTGATTACCTTGCTTATATGATCAGTTTTAAAATTAAAATACTATTTTTGTTCTTGCTTTTCTTTTTTTTGTTTATCTTGGATTGTTTTTGCTTAGCAGAAGTTGTACGCATAATATAACCACACATTAAAAGACTCACAAATAGCCAGGAAATAAGCATCGCTTTCTGAAAAACGGTCTAACCCACTCCGCAGGTGTCATTTCCTTTTTTTTATGAACATGATTTCCCTGTTCTTGCTTACCTGTTATCCTTCATTATGTTCTGTTCATGCTCTTCTTTTCATTTCTGGTCTGTCTTGTGTCTTTGCTGTTCTATCTTCTGTCTGTTATATTCATTAGCCAAGGGAGCGAGATTTTTTGAAGACCTTACGATTGGTGAGTGCAACAGAAGCATGCGAATATGAACAGCATGAGGATGTGGAGGATGAGGATAAGGGGGTAGGTGTCGGCCCCCATAACTCAACTAACCTATAGCCTTACAGTGCGGTGAGCGCTAACGTGATAGACAAGTAACCCACGGGTTGGGCTCCTTTTTAGAAAACGTTAGAAAGGACCAAAACCCACAATGAGGTGGATGTGTGTGAACCAAGACATTGGGCAAAGGAAATATTTTCTCTTTAAATTTATTTATAGATTACTGTGCACTGCGTGGTAATCGAACATAAGCACTAAAGGGATAAGATGGCATTTTAGCGAAAGGATTTTATATAGTTAAGGACATCTTGACAACTAGCCTGCTAATTTCTATGCAAAGTTATCCTATTCCTGGAATTTATTTTTCAAACATGGCAACTATTTTTTGCTTTATCTGAAGGAACTTCTGGAAACTTACTTAATATTTAAGTTTATACTTTAAATCATACCTGTTGGCATTAGGTATTTAATGGGCATCCTTTTATTTAGAAAGGGAGAAGGTTTTAACAACCTAGAGTCCTGGCAACTAACAGAGCTGATGATGACAATTAGTTGACCACACGTCCGCCTTTGCAAGACCAGTGTGCTTCTTTTGCCATCTACATCCCTAGTGCCCCCTGATTTCATTGGAAATTGTGCCTTTTTTTTTTTTTAATCTCGTGGGTGAATTCACCAACATCATTCCTACCTGTTGTATAGAACTTAGCTTTCCATTCTGTAGTCTGCTGTCTTTTTTATTATGGGGCCTTGGCTTCAGCACCCTATTCATATTTGAGAAGCTAAGCTCTCAGTTTTATTTCCCCCCCCCTTTGGAAGATTTGGTGTGGCCAATTTCAGCTTCATTCTTTGTATTTTTGTTAAGCATTTCCCAGCTCTGTTTCCTTATGTTTTCCTTTTGCCAACTTGCAGTGATTCTAAAGGGAAACAGTATGAAGGAAAAAAATTATGGTTTGTCATAATTTCCATAGAGCCCTACCAATTTTGTGAAAAACACTAAAATAAAATAAAGAGGAAATATATTATATGGTTTTAATTGCTTTTCTCTCTTCCTCTATCATGGCTAAGTAAAACTCCACTGTCTTTCTCCTTCTTGGTGATTTTTTTATACTAATCGCATGCTACTTTATCTCATTTTCATTCACATGCGGTATATACATATATATATTTCTAAAAATCATTTTGATAATTGTTAGAATTCATTAAGAAGGGAAAATGGTATTTAATTCTTCTTGTGCAGCCATACCTTAATACCTGATTTGTATTTTAGTGAATATAAAAAAAAATTCTATATGTTCTATGGTATTGTCTCTTTTCCTTTGTTTAAATAAAGCATTTGGAATATAGAATATGTTTAAGTAAAACATATTGGGAAAAATCCCTAGTAGTTGACTATAAATTTAATCCCAGGTAATACAAAAAAATTAGAACTGCCTTTAAAGAATTTAATGGGCTTAGCCAAACAGTAAATACTGTTTTGACATATTAAGATAATCATAATATATATTTATGTAGTATATTGTCAGTGTTATAAAAAAAACTAGTGTTTTTCATACTCTGCATTTTTCTATTCTTAGCCCAGAGAAAAAGGTCGGATGCGTTTTCACAGACTACAGAATGTACAAATTGCACTTGATTATTTGAAAAGACGCCAGGTAAGATGTTTTTCAAAGACTATAATCATCCTATATAATAAAAGCCTAATATGCTAAGTGTCCAATTATTTGTTCTACTGTTTGACCAGTCATTATGATGTGTACTGACCACCAGGGGGCTGAAGCTTTGACCGGTAGGTTAGCTTGCTGCTGTGGTCTGGCTGATTGGAACTGGGCGAGAAGGGTTGGACGCACCCTGGAGCCCTCCTGTGGCCCCTCCCCAGCCCCAATGGTGCACTGGTGGGGTCTCTTGGCCTGGCCTTCGCCCTCTCACAAGCCAGGACCCTTTCGGGGATGTCTGCAGGCCAGGCTGAAGGATTCCACTGGTGCATGGATTTGTGCATTGGGCCTCTAATAATAACCATGTGTGACTGAGTCTACATAGAATCATGCCAGGGAATGAAAAGGTTAAATTAGACTATGAATTATAATCATTATACTTGTGCTTCTGTGAGACAAATATTCTAAAATATTTATAAACATTTGCTCTAAAAAGAAGAAAGCTAATAGTAGTTGTAAGTTTAGAGGAATTACAAGTGGCTACATTTCCATTTGAATAAGAGCTACTGATTTTCCTTCTGTTGGAATTTGAGTGCTTTTGCCTAGGAAGTTAATGACAGAATGTTAAGAATGTCTATGAACAGTTCTTAGTAGTAGGGAGGCAATACCTTAATTTTTATACTTATTTTATAAAACTATTTTCATAAAAAATAGTTCATAATATTTAAAAATTAAGTACTTTTAATATTTAGTAGTGATAAGGCGATGGTTTATTTTTTATAAGAAGATAATACTGGGTAATATATAAGTAGTTAAAAATATGGCAACATTTCTGATAATAGTCTCTAACTGGCTTGAGAAAAATCAGGAAAAGAATGAACACCATATTGGATGTGGTCTTGATTTTGGTAGCATTGTGTATAATAGTGGTATAAACCAAATAATTGGTAGCTTTCAATGAGTAGAGAAAAGGAGAAAAAGACATTCAGGAGAATTGAAAGTTGCTGCAAACAATGGGAGCTCAGAGGTGGGAACAATTCTGTTTTTGATGGAGTAGGAGGAAGGGAGGAGACGGGGAGAGGGAAACACTGTCTTTTATTAGTTCTTCATTTAGGTTATTATGAATGTGAAAGTGCTTTTAGTTTTTAAATTCTACTAAATATTATGTGTTCAAATATTTTTAAATGTTGTTAGTACTTGCCTTATTATTTTTAATTCCAGTGGAGGTTTCCAGAGGATTAATGGTTAATTATACTCTCCTGGTATGAAATGTATTTGACAGTATTTTGTCTGGGAAGTAAAATGTTAGCTATCATTGTACTTAATTTTTGATATTCAATTCATGATATATAATTATTTTGTCCATCCAGGAGGTAATGTTAGATGTCATCATTGCATTTATTTACTTGAATGCATACTATGACAGTTGTTAAGCTTTATATGTGTGTGTATCTATCTATCTATCTATCTATCTGAACAGCCTTACAAATGTCCAGTCACTCACGAATTTACTTATCTTGGTAACAGTTTGTGATAAAAAAAAATAGAGAAGTAATGCTAGTTTTTATTTAAACCTTTGTGAAGGAAGTGTGACAATGTTTTAAAAATTATTTTATGATTTAGAACTGTTTCCTACTTAATTGTAAAATAAAGCTTATTTTCAAAAGACAAATGTCCAATTAAAAAAATCTCAGGTATCTAAGTCTTCTCACTTGAGCTGTATTTTTTTTTTTTTAACAAATGAGTAGTTTTATTACTTGATCTAGAAGACAAAACCAAATAATCCCTGCTTTTTTTTTTTGTGGTTCCTTTATAATTTGCAATATAAAATGAGTGAACATAGGGGTAAAGCAGTATTTTGAGGATTACTGGCATTTAAATCATTCAGTTTTTTTCTTTGTGTAATTTAGCATTGCTTTTATATAGATAAAGATAAGTCATGTGATGGTTTGAAAAACAGTTCTTTTTTTTTTATCTCTTCTTCACATATAAAATAGGTGAAATTAGTGAATATTAGAAATGATGACATAACAGATGGAAATCCCAAGTTGACATTGGGATTAATATGGACAATAATTTTGCACTTTCAGGTAAGCTTGATTTTTCTTGATTGTCATTTCTTTTAGCCTCTTCTTGCTAGTTCCAAATTGCTAGTTCACATCAAGGATAAATTATGCATTCATATCCAATGGAATATAGTAAATTTTAGGCTTCTTTTCTTAAACAATATATTTGTATTATTTCTTTCAAGTAACTGCTTGTGAACCTGGTATTCCATTTCCTGTTTTTGATAACCTGAAATGTTTTTAGGGCAAAGCTTGCAATCTCAGAGTTGGATGACAAGATTCTTTTTAATTGAATGCAGACACATTTCTTTTGTTTATTGGAAAGTATTACGTGATATAGATATATGAAAATTTTATTACTCAATCTTTAATATAGAACGGCTTTCATGGGTATTATCATTTCTCCACTATGCAAACTATTTTCTCTTATTGATAGACACTAGGTGGCAGTATAATTATGATAAAGCAATCTTCTCTATTATTCATGTTTTTGTATAGAGCTACACTTTTTCAAGCTAGATTTGGGGAGGGCAAATGCAAATACATAAAAATTTATTCGCAACGAATGATTATTTAATAAATTGAGAGCTATTGTGAGTTTTAGTTTTTATAAAATGATACATTTTGAAAAAAACCGTCTTCATTTGAAAAGCTGAGTCCTAATTTTGGAATTTGCTTTTGTTTATTAATGCTGTGCCTGCCCACACATTGTCTGTGTGCAGCACAGAGCTGGCCCACAGTAGGCACGTGGCACATCTTACTGATTGACTGTGTTGTTGGCCTTGAAAGAGGAGGAAGTAGCCTGCCAGCCTCAGAAAGGAGCTGGGGTTTTGAGCCAGATTTTGAGAGGAGTTAGATTTACTTCTTATATTTAAAAAATTCGACTAGGGTCCTAGTTGGTTTGGCTCAGTGGATAGAGCGTCAGCCTGTGGACTAAAAGGTCCCAGGTTCGATGCTGGGGTTGCAGGCTGGATCCCCCTACCTCCCATAGGAGGTGTGCAGCAGGCAGCCAATCAGTGAATCTCTCTCATCAGTAATGTTTTGATCTCTCTTATCCCTCTCCTTCCCTCTCTGAAATCAATAAAAATATATTTTTAAAAAATTCGACTGGGACATAGGGTTTGTAGGGGAATGGTGGAAAATCGTGTACCTGTGGCTCATTTGGGGACAGGAAAAGTCTGACAGGTATGGAGAGCTACAGGAAGTAGAGTCTAGGTAGGTACCAGCTTCTTGAATAGGCAGCCGAGAGAAGATGCAGCAACCAGAAATCAGAGGAGCAGACTCAGGTACCAGGAGATCCAGGGGCCAGGAGTCAGGCAGCCAGACTACAGGGCAGCTCACATAGGTGAATGCCCACTCATCTGGGCATTGATGTCTGGGAGACCCAGTAACAGGAAGTGGAGGCAGGACCCTGCACGCCTGAGGGCTTCCGTTTCTAGAGGACCCCATCCTCAGGGGGCCTAGGGGACTGAGCCATAAACCAAGGCAGATATTTGGGCGTGGAGCCAGACCTTGTTACCAGAATTGGGTAAGGACTAAGTACAACTGACCAAAAGCTGATTTCACATGGATTTCCTGGGCAGCTCTCTCAGGGCGTCTTTAATCAGCCCCAAGTGGATCAGGTTTCTCGACTTTTAGTAGGGTTGAAACTGCAAGAACCCCACTTTGGAGGTTTAGAGACCAACTGGGACAAGGAGCCAATCACATCATTACCAGAGCTGGTGAGACAGGTTGTGCTTTGAATGTTGGAGTGAGAATCCCTGTGGGGGCTGGGGAAACACTCAGGTTTTGTGGGGAGGCAGAGTTAAGTTTCATTGTTGGCTCTTTTATTTATGGCTGGGATGGCATTGAATAAGTCACTTAATCACTCTGAACCTGAAAAAATAACTTTTTAAGGGAACTCAGCCTATCAAATTCTATGTAAAATAAATTGAAATGAGCAGAGTCCATAATGAGGGAGATAATCTAAGAAGCGGAGGTGGTGATTTCTGAGTGGAGTGATAAAGGCCAAGATTCAGGTGGGGATGAAAAATGGACCCCAAGAAATGGCATTTTAAAGGATGAAGAAAGGGACTCGGTGATAGTGGAAAATGGATGAAAGAGAGGGAATAAAGATTACTCTAAACTTACAGCTAGGGAGATACAAACCAACTGAGCCAACCAACCTACAAACAAAAAGAAAACTATTGAGAGAAATGGGGATGATGGTAAAGGGGAAACCCAAGACCTTGGCGGGTTCGATGGCATGGTGGGGTATCCTTTCCATTTGTCTGCTGAGAGATTGGAGGTTTGTGAGCAGAGCAGAGCTGAGAAGTCAAAGGTACAGATAGACGTGGGAGTTACCAGTGCACAAGTGGCTAGTGAATCTACCAGAGACAAGGGGTCTTTAGGAGACCTAAGAGATGAGCATACATGGAGGAGAGCCAAGACCTAAGGACAGACATTTGGGAGAAGGCCCATGATTGGGGTGAGGGAGGAAGAAGATGTGTTTGGGGAAAAAGAAAAGGAACATTTGATGAAATGGATGAAGCCACAAGGAAATGTAGTATTGATGAAATCAAGGAAAGGTAATTTCAGGGAGAGAGGAATAATGAACATATGAAATGCTACTAAAGAGCTTTCGAACTTTAAGACTGATAGTTTTAGTCCAGGCTGGTTTGGCTGAGTGGATAGAGGATTGAAGAGTCCCAGATTTGATTCCATTCAAGTTTGATCCCCAACCCAGGTTGGGGTGCATGAAGGAGGCAACCAATCGATGTGTCTCTCTCACTTTGATGTTTCTTTCTCTCTATTTCTCTCCCTCTCTTCCACTCTTTCTAAAAATCAATAGAAAAATATCCTTGGGTGAGGATTAAAAAAACACTGATAGTTTTAGTGTTAATAGTTTTGTTATAGGTTAATAGTTTTGTTTACAAGGAAGACATTGGAGACCATGGAGAAAATACTCTCAAGATACTGTGACCAGAAACCAGAAAATATAATGGACAAAAATGTCAGTAAGTGGTAGTGAATTAGAAGTAGCAAGTTTGAGGAAATGTAAGTGAAAAGTCATTAAAAAATAATTTATATTAAAAAAAGCTCTTTAAAGTTCAGGTGTCTTTGGAAGAGAGAGGAGGACCAGCGACAGAAGAATCAAAAAGATGTTTTTCTTCTAATATGATCCTGTGGCCTGTATTATAGAATCCAGTGTATTTTAGAACCCAGATTGCAAGATAATGATTATTAAATTATTACCAGTTTTTAAAAATTAGACCAACATCTATTAAAAATGAAACACATCAGTGTTTTGGTAAATCAGAAATGTTCCTTCATTTAGATGAAATAACTTTTCTTAGTAGTGTGACAATTAAAGATTAGAACGATTTTACTGGTTATGCCAAGATACAAGGCTATTTATAGCAGTGTTAATCATCCTCACTCACAGTGACTGGGCTTCCCCCCCCCTCCCCCTATATATACTTTACATAAATAAATGAAGTAATTTCAGAAGACAAATTTATTTATAAACTATCTGTTATAAGCACCATAAATTGAATCTCTTTTCTAATTAGGCTATCTGAAGGTAAGTATGGCCAACACAGTAATCTTATACCCTTAGCTACCATAGGCTAGATCCAGAGATACTAAGATGAGGAAGTGTATTGTTCTATCTACTGGGAGAATGTTCATAAAACTGACTATAATTTAGGGTGATGAATCTATTGTGATAGAAATAAAAATAAGGGTGTGGAGAAGGAGTGCTATAGTAGGATCAGGAAGGTTTAGAGAATAAGGGGAAGAATTTTCACTGATCTTAGAGATTGGCTTTGAAAGATGTTTGCCAGCTACCAGGCAGAGAGTGAGGTTGGGTGTTTCTGAGAGAGAAGTGGACAGTTGCTCAGGGTGGCAGGGCTGGAGGCAGATCACTGGCTGTGCCTCTGTTGTGTCAGTAGATACCAGTCATTCCACTGTTTAAAAAAAATTATGCTTTTATTGATGTTAGAAAGAGGAAGGGAGAGGGTGGGAGGGGAAGAAGGAGAGAGAGATAGAGAGAGAGAGAGAGAGAGAGAGAGAGAGAGAGAGAGAGAGAGAGAGAGAGAGAGATACTGATGAGAGAGAAACATCATTGATCAGCTGCCTCTTGCATGGCCCCTTCTGAGGATCAAGCCCATAATCCAAGCATGTGCCCTGACCAGGAATTGAACTGGTAACCTCTTGGTGCCTAGGATGACACTTAACCAATGGAGCCACATTGGCTGGGCAAGTTGTTCCATTTTTAAATTATCTTAAATGATGTTTTATTACCATAGACACTGCAAATCAAATTAAAAAGGAACAAACAAACCAGAAGCTTTATTATTGCCAGCTTGTCTTCTAGGATATTCAGTTTTTGCCATTGAAGATTGTTTACTTTTCTCTTTAAATGATTAAGGAGAAGCTCACCATGAAGGCCTATAATTGACAAATATCAACCACTTTGCTATCTTGACTGTTTAATTATATTCTTACTAGAGGCCTGGTGCACGGCATTTGTGAACTGGGGGAGGGCCTCTCAGTCCAACCTGTGCCTCTTGCAGTCTGAGACCCCTCAGGGGATGTTTGCCTGCTGGCTTAGGCCCACTCCCCTGGGCCCAACATTTAAAGGATGCCAACACAAGAGACAAAACATTCCAGAGCAAAACTGACCTTTTTCCTTCCCAAAAGGCAGCCAGCTTAAGTCCCAGCCATTGTACTATAGGGAGATCCCTTGAAAAAAGTGGGTTCTCTGAAGACCCATCCCAAAATGATAGCAATGGGCAGTGAGATATCCCCTGAGGGGTCCTTGGTGCTGCAGCAGAGGCAGGGCAGTCTCCCGTCACCGCCACTGCGCTCACCAGCCATGAGCCTGGCTTCTGGCTGAGTGGTGCCCCCCAGGGGGAGCGCACTGACCACCAGGGGTCAGCTCCTATGTCAAGTGTTTGCCTCCTGGTGGTCAGTGCCTGTCATGGTGACCAGTTGTTCTGCTGCTCAGTCATTTGCATATTAGGGTTTCATTATATAGGATT